CTGCTTCTCCCTCTGACCCTCCTCCCTCTCATGCTCTCTGTATCTCATTCTCTCTGTCTCAAATAAATAAATAAAATCTTAAAAAAAAAAAAGACGGATCCCATTGTTCTGCTTACATTAGTCACAAAAATTAAATATATTTATAGAAAAATCTTAAGAAAGGCTTTCTTCCTTCGGAACAGAAATCAGTAACGGGAATACCATCTTAATTGGCTTAATTTGGGGCAGGAGGCGGCGGTGAGGTCATAGGAACCAGGAGGGGAAGGGGACAAATGAGATTTCGGTAACTGAAACATAACCCAGCACTCATCAATATTTAAAAAAAAAAAAAAATCCCATACTCAGGCACTGGTTGCAAATGAAAAGGACAGAGAATGGGTGTGTTCTCAATCTGCGAAGACAATTTTCCTGAGTTTCGGCCCAGCTCTCCAGAATCGCACGATCCTCGGCAGGTGGTCTGGCCCCTGCAGGGGAGCTTCTTGGGCTGTGCTCGGAGTGGAGAGAGCTTTCCTGCTTTCTGCAGGTCGCCACCTCCAGGATTTGGAGCATTCTGTATTGCACTAGCATTCCAAAAAAGGAAACAGAAAAAGACCATTTAAAAGTGACAGAAATTTAGCTTTTCAAAAAGCACACACTTGGCAAAATTATCAGGAACTAAGTATATGTTGTTCAAATGTTAATACAGTATTTAACTTAGGTTTAAAAACCCAGAAATAGGTCACTTAAATTTATGGAGATGAAAACACAATTCTATGTGCCCAAGAAAATCATTTTCATCTACTTCTACGACAATTTAAATGACTTTTAGCAAGCACCTAAGTGGGTTTTTCCCATGTAACAACTGAAAAGCAGCACATAGCCACAGTGCTAATCTAGAGGGCAAAAGCGCTCGCGGGCTGCAACAATCGTCTTGGTCCGTGTGAAAGATCACAAGAGAATTAGGTTTTCTCTAGTCTGACCTTGGTCACAGGGACCTTCTAAATAGACGTGTATTTCAGTGGGAGGAAAACATAGTTTTAGTACGCACTGTGATTTTAATCACCAATTAATTAAAGACATTCATGGCTCCCGTCTTTAGATTCTCTCTCGAAGGCAAGTAGGTTAAAAAACAAAAGATAATGAAGAAAAATTCACTCCACAAAGCAGGTTCTAGGCTCATACATTTTTATCAAAAATGGCAGCAGAAGTCTACAAACATGAACACCATTTTAAATTCAGACTCCGTTAAAAAAATTCATCAGTACATAAACTTCACCAGCTCTGTTTCTAGATCAGTGTACACTAAATGTGGCAGGCTTCATTCAGGCACCCACAGTCTCTGCTCCCTTTCCTCTAACCAGGGGGCTGGCTGCCAGCCACCTCGCACAGCTGTCTTCACAAATATCTGTGCTCACGTACCATTTACTGAAGTCGATCTGTAAAGAATGGTCAACTGTGAGATCTGTCGGGCAGGCAGGGTGGACCTTCTTTGGGTCACCTCCAAGAATTTTCACTGCCTCCCTCATAGCAGCAAAATCCACCATTGCTGGTATTCCACTAAAAAATAAAGAATGATGAAATTATGGTCTTAATTGTACGTTCATATGCTCAAATAAGATACATTTGTTCAGTTTTACATCTAAACATATCCCTTTCTAGTTTGTACTCGTTAGATTACATACTTGTTATCCAAAGTTTGACATATCCTGGTTTCATGAGAATTAGCATTAATGTTACTGAGAACTTGAGTGTCACAAATAACACAAGAGAGAACTTTTAGAGGCAAAAGGAACCTTCCAGAAAACTGTCTATGTATTCTTTCCCTGTCTTAAATTTCAGGAGACTCCCCTCCCTCCCAGAGGCTTCTTAGGACTCCAGGCTCTCAACTAGATGTACGTGCCTCCAGACGCCGGAGGCATGGCTCGTCAGAGACAGGAGCCTGCAGGGAAGATGGGGTCGTGACCACAGAACAGTATCAAAAATACTGTAATAGCAGCGCACACAGGGTATAAAGAACAGTGGCATGCAAACCAGATTTGGGGGGTGAGTGAGGGGGACACTATTATTTATCTAGCTAACTCCTACAGCTCCTTCCAAACTCTTCCAATAAACAATTCCTGGGGACTCAGATCAGACTCTGGATTTTATTCCAAGTGTGATGGACGCTCACAGGTGTACAGGGGAATGACAGGACCTGGTTAACATTTTTAATCAAGTCACATGATCTACCGTGAAAAGACAGCACAGACTGTAAGTGTGCAAGCAGGGGTCCTGGCTAGAGACACTAACAGCTGTAGTCCTGGTGAGAGCGCCGGGGGCAGGACCAGGATGGGGGTGGAGACGGTAAGAGGTACGTGGGCTCAGGACACATCTCAAAGGTAGAGTCCACAGAACTTGCTGACAGACTGGATTAGGCAGGAGGGAAAGAGAGGAGTCGGGCATTTCCTATGATGGGGAGACATGGAGAGGGACAGGTATGGCAGCTGGGCAATAAGGCTTTGCATGTCTAAGTCTGAGAAGCCCACTCACCAACTGGGGACGACAAGCAGGCAGAGTTCCGCAAAAGCAGGTTTTCAATAAACAGTGCAAGAAACAAGCACCTCATTTTTAATGAACTGCTTTACTTTAGAAAGGACAATTCTTTAAATTTATAAACTAATCTTCAGAATTAAAAACAGAGCCAACCATCAGGGAGTCTGAATGTTAAGAAGGAAATGCTCGATCACTCACGTAAAATCTTGAAGAAGAACACGGGCAGGGAAAAAGGGCACTTCAACATTGCTTTGTTTGGTTTTCCAGTCTAAAATGTTCATGACATCTTCCTTTTTCATTAAAAAGCCATCACAGTTCCGCACAGCAGCTTCCAACAGGACCCGTATTGAGTAAGGCAGAACATCTGAGTCAGAGACAATATTACTATTAATAAGGGCATAGTCTTAACTACATACTATAGAAATCACAAGAGCAAAAAGTTAGATAAAGACAGGGATGCACTGTTTTCTCAGTCTCAGTAAACATGGAGGAAAACACCGTTTATGTTACTATCAGGCTTACTATAAATTTGACTTTCCCACATGTCAGCCAAGGTGCTGAAAAAGCAGAGATTAAACACTCTTGAAAGAGCTGCACATTTCTGAAATGGGCACGAGACTGACCAATACTTAACATTCAGGGAAGACACAGAAAATGAGAATAAAATATAATAATGAAAACATCCCTAAACTGTACAGAAGTCTGTAATAAATTTTAAAGATTTCCATCAAAAGTGGTTAGTTTAAAACAGGGTGCTTACATGAGTCAAATTCACTTCATGCTAACTGTCACTCACCCTAGAGTCCTCGTTTAAGTGTATCACAGAGACACAGACTCCAACACCGTAAAGTTTTCAATCATACTCAAGTCTCACACCAGATTTAAGACTGAGTCAGTGTGGGGCCGGCTGCGTGACTCCCGGCAGCCCACACAGCGGACCACTATGCAGCTGTCTAAAGGGATGAAGACGTCTGCATGTCGATAAGGAGTGATCTCCAGAACATACCATTCCGAGAAAACGCAGTGCAAAACAATGCTTACAGCACCCTACCATTTCAGTAAGAAAAGACATTAAAAAGGGTGTAAGAATACAAATTACTGTACAACAAATATAAAATTTTAAAGTATATATTAAATATGTACTTTAAAATATTACTAAATATTTTTAAAATATAAAAATATATTAAATAAAAATAACATATACTTCCCCCCACCCCAAGAAAGAACAATGAAAGGACAAACTGAAGAGTTAGTATCTATTACCACACGTTTTGGCTGTATCTCCCTGGCAGGATGTGTATAAAGGACAAGAAGATCCACAAAGAAAACAAAGTACGTTCAGGTATTGGTACAGAGAGTGCAGCGTGAAGTTGTCCCCTATGTGACGAGAGGAGGCCAAAAGCACTTGTGTTACTGTGGCTGGAAACCAGGATTTTTAAGAGTAATGATACAGAAGTATAAAATCAGAGTAGCTAACTTAAAAAAAAAAAACAAACTTCCATTTCAATTGGAATCGTAAGTACAAACTCATAGTTTATTTCTCTCTTTCTAAACAGTAAGTGTTTCCAGCTCTGCTGAGTGAAAATGCCCCAATGACAACCCACCAGTAAGGCCCCCTGGCCTCTCGGCCCACTCTTAGCTAACTACTATTTTCCCACTAGGAGGAGAGCACCCGTGTTCCCCCCAGAGTTCCTCCCACGTCTGGGAAAGGGTGGAAATAGGCCCAGAACATCCTGTGTCAGAAGCTGCAGGGAACGCTGGTGGGTCAGTGTGAGCATCCAATTCACTGACATGCATCAAACACAGAAACAGCCCTTAGTTCATAAGGACTCTTTAAAAAACCCTTCATCGATGGCCATGCAAGTTCCTAGAGCAACTCATGACCCTGAAACTCACACCGGGGGGAAACGATCAATCATCGATCTCGTCCTTCCTCATTCAAGAAACCAAATAGCCAAGAGCAAGCTCCTCACAGAGGAGTGGAAGCTAGTAACACAGAAAGGGAGGGTGTCATTCGCAGCACCTCCCACGTGCAGCCCCTGGACAGCGCTGGAATATTCGGTGAGACGTGGTCACAGAACTCAGAACGGATGGAGCCCGCGGGCACCAATGACAACCACCAGCATCTCCAAATGCGAGACAGGAGAGACACTGTCTGCTCTGAGGAAAGAAAGATCCAAGCCCCACCACCAGGGTTCTCGCAAACGTCCGCACATCCAGACAGCCAACCCCACCTCCCACCGACAGCAAACAGGGGCAGCGTGGCAGGAAGGGGACCCTGCAAAGGAGCAACCGGACCAACACACATGGCTGCCCCCACACCCAAATGGCACGGAACATGGAGACAGGGCGAGCCTGACAGACCGCCAGCGACTTACAAGGTGCAGCAACCAAGTGCTCTGTGCGAACCTGCTTGAGACACGGGAAATCTGAATATGGACCGGGTTCTAGACCGTAGGAAGGAATTACTGTTAATTTCATTAGGTATAATAAAGGCACTGAGAGTGTTATTTTGGAAAGTCCTTTCACACGTCAGTGATGTATGCTAAAGTGTATTTATAGGTTACAGAGATGGTGAAATATTTTATTTTATTTTAAAGATTTTATTTATTTACCTGACAGAGAGAGAAAGAGATCACAAGCAGGCAGACGGGCAGGCAGAGGCAGCGAGAGAGGGAGAAGCAGGCTTCCCGCGGAGCAGGGAGCCCGATGCGGGACTCGATCCCAGGACCCTGGGACCATGACCTGAGCCGAAGGCAGACGCCCACAGACAGTACCCCTGGAGATGGTGAAGTAATTTAAACAAAAGGTCAGCAAATGTTGATAACTGGCTGACAAATACAAAGTGGGTGATGATTTTGTCCCTACTTTTAGGATTGAAATTTTAACTCACACAAGTTAAAGATGAATGAAGTCGTAAGTGTGGAGACAAAGGACTACATAACCAGAAACGCTGGACTGAAGGCCTGTATTTGCCATTTACTACAGGTCTGACCTTGAGAGATGGACTCAAGCTGATTCTTGTTCTTGCCTAAAACAGGTGCACCAGCCACCTAACGGGAGTGAGTAGCCAATACTCATAAAACCCACAAACACGTATGAGTTTTCATCCTACCTCAATGAGAAACACAACAAAGTCCTCCAAAGCAAGGGGAACTGCAGGAGAGAGATTTTTTGATGGAACACTTGGAAATATTGAGGAGGAAAACATCACAGAAGCAAATACACAGACCAGTTTTCTATGTGGTTAACTGTCCTGGAAAAACAATGTCAGGAATACTTTTTGTTTAAAGATCTTCACAGAAAGCATTTACTCAGATTTCTAATAAAATATGGCAAACTCCAGCAATTATGTCCATTCACTTTTGAAACCCACTAAGAGGATAGTAAAGAAATAAAGTCATAAACCCACAGGAACAAAGAGAAGCACAACTCAAAAGATTCTGGCCAACAGTGCATGGATGACCGTGCCCACACGGAAGAGAGGCAACCAAAGGCGACGACTGGGACGCAGGACAGCCTGGGCTTCTCGAGGGCTGGGTGAGGGGCTAAGAGGCCACAGAACAAGGCCTTCGAAACTCCAAGGGAAAATCATTTCCAGCCCTGAGAGCTCTGTCCACGGGCAGCCGCGCGTCAATCATGCAAGGCCTCCAACACTGCACTTCCCGGGACGGACGCTACGGGAGGGAAGTGGAGAGCAGAACAGCATGCAGGCTGGGACCCAGTGGGGTGCCCCGTGTGGCAGGCGAGGAAGTCCAGGTGGGACGCTGCCAACACAAGAGGGAAAAATGAACTGCCAGACTACCTGATTCTACCGGGAGGAGTTAATTCTTCTAGAGAATTTGGAGAGGAATTACTGATAAAGACACAGCAAACTTAGCAAACAGAAAAAGACAATCACTACTTCCAGGAAAAAACACAAAGTTGTAAGAGAAACAAGATGCAATCATTTACTACACGGACCGGCTGGGAACATTTACAGCCATCAAAATATGAACACGGAATGCTGGCTTGATAACTAAGAAGAGGTACCTGGGATATATGCAGAAAATTGCCCACCTCTTATTTTCCACAGTAGAAAGTTAGAAGTCTATCACTGAAAATCAAAAAACAGGTGTATAAGCAAGGCTATTTAGTAACATAGAGGAAAGTCCCGTAAGAAACAGCCAAGAGTATCAGAAATGGTATTCTCTGCAGAGTAGAAATTCAGGGTAGGGCAAGGGGCTACTGTTTTGGTTATTATCTTAGTGGTCTTACTGGGTTTTTAATTCTAAGACTTGAAAATTCAGTATTAAATTTAAAAGCAACTATCAAATAAGCATGCTCTAAGAACAAAAAGTCACTGTTAACTGGACAGTTTGTCGTTAAGAAGCACTAACTTGCAAATGTGCCTAAGCACTCCCAGCGTAACTCCCAGCGGCCCACTACAGGGAGCGATGCAGACGCACGCCAGCCGTCCCTCAAACGTTCTGCGCTCGCTGGCCTCCAGACATTACTATCACCCTCCCCTCCTGGCATTCGTCACGCCACCTTCCACACGGTTGTTGTGTGGCCAACAGAGCATATGGCAGAGGCGACAGCACAGGGCTTCAAAGGCCATGGTGTGAAGTCTCCCAGCACCAGCCTCCCTCTCTTGGACCAGTCACTCTGGGGCAAGCCAACAGCGCGTCACGGGCACACTCAGGTGGGAGACCACCAGGGCCTGTGTGCCAACGGAGCGTGGGGCTCCCTGCTCAGTGGGGGGGGCCTGCCTCTCCCTCTGCCTCTCCCCCCTGCTTGTGCGCGCGCACTCGCTCGCTCTCTCTCCCTGCGGGGCTCGATCCCAGGACCCTGGGATCACGACCTCAGAGCCACCAAGGCGCCCGTCTTCCTCAACTATTCTAATGGTAACACCTGCAGTTACTTACTTAGGACCTGCTGGCGAGTCATGTCGAGGTGCTCCCCCTACAACGGTATTTAACCCCTGAGGTGACTCCAGAGGCAGACATTCCAGAGCCATAAGCAGAGAGGGCAGGCTAGCAGACGCTCTAGTGTTCCCTATCCCCAGCACAGAATGGGCCCTCACTGCTCCTTCTTCCCTGTTCGGCTACCCCACCTCCACGCGCCCTCTCCTGCTCCAACCAAACCACCATACAAGTCCGCACACCTGTCTGACCCCCACAGCCCGGACGCCACCTTCTCCTCTCCCCCAGCACCGCCCGTCCGCCTGCTCCCTCACTTCCACCATTTAGGTTCCCCAAGCCTGCACTCCCCCCCGTTCTTTCATTCTCAGTCCATCAGAACACCCACCTGCATCAGGCGGTGAACCCCACGTCACTTTCCTGCTTAAAAACTTTGTTTTAAAAATAACGCTATCACGCGTAT